TTTTGAAGCTAAATGGGTAAGGGTATTTATAGTATAAACTTAGGGACTAATCTTTGAAAATACCCTAAAGTGCAATGACTAAAGTGAATTTACTCATTCCTATTTTCAACAAACATCTATCAAAATTTTATCAAACTTTGAAAAACATTTTTCAAAAAAACATTTACCAAACTTTAAAAAATTATTTTTCAAAGTTGGTTGCTAAATTTTGAAACTTTTAACAGACCTTGGTGAGGAGCTGTATATGGCACAGTCCCCAGATTTTGAACATGCTGCTAATGATGGCTGTCGGCTTGTGTGTAAATTGAAGAAGGCGTTGTACGGCCTGAGACAAACTCCACAGATATGGTATTCGAAGCTGAAGCAGTTTCTTGTTGAGCTAAGATTTCGTGGCTCAACTGCAGATGCTTTCCTTTTGTTAAAAGTGAAACTGGTGTTTGCACGATAATTCTCGTTTATGTTGACGACGTTATCGTCACTAGCGAGTCCCCTGATGCGATGGAGCATGTTGTTCAACATCTCAGCAAACGATTCTCCTTGAACTATTTGGGTGCTCTTCATCACTTCATTGGGAATTGAGGTTCGGCGAAGTCTTGAGCGACTTGTCTTGCGTCAGCATAAGTTCATCCGAGAACTTCTCGAGAAAGTTTACATGAGCAGTGCCAAACCAGCTCCCACCCCATGGCTGTCTCTCTGAAGCTTACGCGTGATTCTGGCAGGTTGCTTGATGATGCTCAGAATTACCGTAGTGTGGTAGGGTCTCTGCTGTATCTGAGTCATAGCAGATCGGACATAGCCTGTAGCATGAACCGGGTAGTTTAGTACAAGCATCGTCTGTGTGAAGGTCACTGGACTGCAGTTAAACAGATATTGAGATATTTGAATGGCATGGTTGATTTTGGCTTAGTGTTACAGATGTCCATGTCCGGTGAAGAAAGTTGCATTGTCGCATTTGTTGATACAGATTGGGCGAGTAGTGTGGATGACCGACGTTCCATTTCTGGGTGCTGCGTGTTTTTAGGCTATAATCTTATTTTTTTGGAGCTAAAAAAAGGTGGCAAGGTCAACAATCGAAGTTGAATATAGAAGCGTTCTCTGAGGTTGTTTGGATAAAATCTTATAATTTCAAAATAAAATTTATTTTTTACTCATTTTGATTTGATTAAAAAGTTTTAAAAATTTGTTTTAATAAAATGCCAAATTTTTTTGATATATCAAAACGGACCGGCTGAATACAAACCACCCACACCAACCATCTAACACAGGAGGCAAAAGTTCACTTCACTAACCCATCTCAAAAACACTTAAGAGTTCAATTCTAGAAAAAACAACACCATTATCCTCTACCTGGCTAATGAAATTTTCACAATAATTTCAAAATCATTTCTTTAACTCACCATTGTGCCTCTCTAAGAAACTACCGAATTGATTAATAGAATGGCTCCTACAGAAAGCTTCCTTCATTACAAAACTGAGAGTGACCAAAATTATGCTTGGTAATAGACCTTGTTACCTCGACAATCAAAATATCTTGAAAAGCATCGGTTCCGATCATTTTCTGATCAAATTTATCGGTGATCACCACTACAGGAATACTATCGAGCTATGCATCGGCAAGACCACTCACTATGTTTGTTGCCCCGGGTCCGGAAGTTGCGATACAAACGCCGGGACGGCCGGAGGAGCGCGCGTAACCCTCGGCGGTGAAGATTCCTCCTTGTTCGTGTCGTGGAAGGACATTTCAGATTAATTTGGATCGGGTTAAAGACTGGTGGATCTCCGCTGAAGCTCCACCAGGGTAAGCAAACACGTGTTTGACCCCTTCATGCTAGGGGGCTTTCACGAGGATATCAGCGCCCTTTTTAGGCTCGTCAGGGGAATAACGGGAAACAAAATCACGGAGAGGAGCTGTAGTTGGGGTGACAGTGACGGCGGCGGTGGGGGGTCCGAGAGTGGAGTTTGACTGTAAAAGAGTGCCGGAATTGACGAGGGAACGAGAAGTGTGTGTCATACGCGTCCTGATATTGCATTTGATGCGCATAAGGTGTCGCAGTATATGCAGGAACCTTGTCAAGCTCAATGGGTAGCAGTTAAAAGGATATTTCGTTATCTCAATGGTATTTTGGATTTTGGGCTATGGTTTGGTCCTCAAACTGATAGTTTATCTCTTTGTGGTTTTACAGATGGGGACTGGAGAAGTGATCCTAACGATCATCGTTCTGTCTCGGGTTACTGTGTTTACTTTGGGAAGCATCTGATCACATGGAGTTCTAAGAAACAACGCACGATTTGTCGATCAATGGCGGAAGCTGAGTATCATAGCTTAGATAATGCTACTTTTGAGGTGTTGTGGGTGAAGGCTATTCTTGAGGAGATGAATGTGGATTTTTCTTCTTTACTCGAGGTCTGGGATAATACTAGCACTGTGGCAATGTCTGCCAATCCAGTTCTACATGCTAAAGTCAAACATGTATATATAGGTGTTCATTTTGTGCATGAGAAAGTCATGAATCTACTGCTGGATGTTAATTATGTACCAACTCAATACCAGATTGTTGATGTTCTAACTAAACCTCTTCCATCTGCCAGGTTTAAAGTTCTACGTGATGACTTCAAGTTGTATCGTTAAATCTGCTATGAGGTTTTTTTTTTTTTTTCGTTCAGTGGTCAAGAAGAGGGGTGAATATTGTAGTGGTTTTTTTTCTTTTTGCTGTCAAAGGTCAAGAACCGTGGTGAATATTGAAGTATTGGTATGGTTTGGATATGCCTCGGGTGGTTTTACACTTGTGTTTGTTGAGATTTCAGTTTTCTAACTGAAATTGTTTTTTTCCTGTTATATCAAGTTGGGTCAAACTCTGGTGTTGGTTCAGAGAGGCATTTGGGCTATATAAATTGAAGAAGGGTAAGGGGATGAGACTAAGTGTCTTGATGCACACAGTCATTGTTTCTAATTTTTTTCCACGTTTCTTTTATTGTGTTTTACAGCTGATATCCAGATGCATTGGTTGTGCAACGGTGTTAATGAGTGGCTATTACTGTTTCCAATACGAGTGGTTACCCATTCGGTTCAAATCCCTAATTCCTCATCTATTCACACTGTTAAGTTTATTTCATCTGATAAAGAAATCTAATAATTTCCAGTTTATTTTATTTTTATTTTGTTCAATATCCAGCATTATACTCTTCCTATTCTCACCACTATTTAAAGCAGTAAACTTTTGCAACTCCATTACTCACTAGCCGAACAACCAAGCATGTGCCCAACGAAACTCTAAATACCAATGTTTTTAAAACCGGACCCGACATTGAACCGGTGAAGATATTGGTTCACTGGTTCAACCGAGTTCAACCGCAGTTAAACCGGATTTTATATAAAATAATTTTTTTTAATTTTACATAATATTCAAAACAATATTAATATATATATGTAACACTTTTTTTAAGTTTATAATATTAAAAGGTATACAAATATCACAAGTCATGACATATATAAATTAAAAACTATAAAATCAAGTGAAACAAATCAATTATAACATAATATTTAAGGTGACCAGCCCCAAACAGAATTAAATCTTCAATTGACCAACGAAGGTGACCAGCTCAAAATCAAACTGATCCCATTGCAGTTAGCCTCCAAACAGTCGATGGATCTCACACCAATGATTATCATTGAAAGGTGCAACTCAGAAAGTCAAAAGGTCAAAGCAACACAAAATATCAAGATGATTTGGCCTCTCCTTACAAATAGACCTAGGCGTAAAAATCCAAAAAATCCACAGTGAACTAGACACGAAACAACCGCACGCCACCATCTGCGCCTCAATTCAAAACCAAGGAACCTATCACACGTACAATTCAATTTCGACTCCACATCACGAAATTGCAGCCTGCGACTCATCTAAGAACACCCCTCGAGACCTCAAAATTTCTTTTGAAGACTCCCTAATAAGATTCAACACCTCTCCCATAAAACAGGTTCCATGCATACTCAATTTCACTTAGAGCCTCCTTCATCCATTCTTACAGGAGAACCATTTCAAATTTATGAGTCCTTAATAACATTCGCAACACTCCAAACTTAACATCTGCTCTAAGACACCCTAAAATCCACGAAAGAATCCTCATTTCCGGATCTAACAATCTACCCAGCCCCTAACACACACTCGACACCTCGACACAGATCCAACAAATCTAATTCCTTAGTGACCTCACTTTCAGGACAAATAATCTTAATACCAAGTTTTTTGCCTAATGCCAGAGTCTTCTCCGACTCTTTGGTTGTTGCAATCCACCTCTTCTTTAAATCTGAATTAGAAAACGATCTACCAGACAATTCGGAGCAATTTAGATCGGCCTTCTTCAAGTTGATTTTTTTTTAAAGCCCGTTCTCTTCTACTTCTTGAATGTCCAACATAGTGATAAAATTATAAATTAACCATGTTGAGTATGAAGAAATATATTCCTTTATTTCCACATTAAATTATAGCATATTTATATTGAGTATGAAGATCGCACTTGAAACATTGCTTCTAAAGGTTTCTCATTATATGCGGGCAATGCACGTGGGTGACTTAATTCCTAGATTTGAATTTCCCCAAGGGAAAATCAACTTGGTTAATAGCCTATGGTGATGAGCTGGGATTTGACTTTCTTAATCACTGTTTTCCAAGTTTACGGGGTGGAACGAATATATAATTTTATATTAAAGAAGTAAATTTATAAAATTTTAAAAATAAATCTATAAAATTTTAAAAAGATAAAAATTATTTAAATTATTCAAAAATTTAATCATTAGATCAAGAACTAATTATGAATTTAGAGTATGATTTCATGTTTGATACAATATCTTAATCCAATTAGTTGTCAACCTTATCACTTTTTAACATTAATTAAACACAATTTGTTTTCGTGTTCGATACAATATTCAACGAAGCGTAGTAAACGCTATAATAGTTTATGAACCTTGATGTTTCCTTAGGCCGTATAAGAAGAGCCTCCGGTTTCAAACCCATCGTTTCGTAGGAAAAATCCAATGGAAAGAAATTTGATATTCGCCTGGATTCTGATCCTCTCCTCGGCCACCGTACAAACTTGTTGCCATGGCTATTACTCCGACAGCGTGCCATATGTTCCCTCCCCAAAAAAAGTAACCCATCTCCACTTCTTTTTACACGACACACTCACCGGAGAGAACCCTTCTGCTGTTTTAGTTGCCCGTCCAAACATAACGATATTCCCCGACAACGCATTTATGCCCTTCGGCACCGTGTTGGCCGTAGATGACCCACTCACCGTTGGTCCCGACATTACATCAGAGGTCATCGGAAATGCCCAAGGCCTTTCGGTATTGGCTAGCCAACACGCGTTGTCTCTGGTAGTGTACTTGGATTTCGGGTTTACACGGGGCGAATTCAACGGCAGCTCGTTCAGCGTATTCTCAAGGAACACTATAACGGTGGCAAATCGAGAGCTTACGGTGGTCGGAGGAAGAGGGAAGTTCAGGTTGGCGAAAGGGTTTGCAGAGCTTAAAACTTATAGCAGATCCGAAGGCGGTAACGCGGTTGTGGAGTATAACGTTACTCTCTTCCATCATTAGGATGGCATTTTGATTGCTCTCTTTTCGATCTGTGCTGAAAAATAAAGAAAACCAAGTTTGTTCGTCTTGTTTAGCGTTTATTGTGTTTTGATTTGTTGATTATCCATATGATTGTAAGCTTCTTGTTTACTGTCATTTGCAAAAGGTTTATGTTGTTAATTATGTTTGTCCAAATTCAACCTTACGAGATCATGAAATAAGAGATCCACAGCAACAGGATAGTCAACTTTTTTTTGGGGGGGGGGGATCACGAAATGAAACGTCAAAATTTGAAATAGGTGTAAATATTGGCTGTGGCGAGACCTTGAGCATCGACGTCGATTCATGTAAATTCTATTTATTAATAGAATGTGTAAACAATAATAAAGATTCAATAAATAATTATACTAATTTTTTGAACTTTTACGTCAATTTATTTTTCAAGTGTTAATAATAAATGATTTGATTGACATAATTTAAATAATTTAATAATTTGACTGATAAAATTAAAATATCGATAATAAGATTTAAGTCCCTCAATAATTAAATGATCATGGGTGATGACTGTAGATTTTTAGAGGGGGGTTCGTCTAGTCTTGCTCTTGTGTTTTACAGCATTGGATTACAGTTTGTATTGTGCTAGGGGTTTGACCTCGTGGATTATATTTTGGTTTAGAAAAGTTTTTAACGAAATTCTTAATTAAGGTTTGTTTTAATAAAAAAAATTTCAAAAGAAATTAAATGATCGTGGGGTAATTTACCCTAAATTTTATTTGCAAATAAAACAGAAAGACTTCAAGGAAACACGATAAAACTTAGGGTGCGTTTAGTTCACGGAATGTAAGATTATCAGTGGGAATGTAAGATTACTAGAGAATAGGATTACTGAGAATGTTGTATTTTGTGTTTGGTTAGTTTAACAGGAATGTAAGATTACCGTGTTTGGTTAAAGGAATAAAAGATTATTGAAATGTATATTTGACCAAATTGTCCTTATTATATATTTATTTTTTTAACAAGTTGGAAAATATTTATATATTTTCTTTAAAAAAATTAAATTCATAACATTTATATATATATTTTTTACAAAATTGAAAATATAAAAAGATTTAATGAAAGGGAAAATTTTATTTTAACCCCTGAACTTCATATAAAATTTTAATTATAAATTTTTTTGTAAATCTAAAATAGTTTAAGGATAAATTTGTAATTTAACCTTCGTAGAATTTTTATTATTCAATGACAGAAGAATTATATTTTTTTAGAAAAAAAATTAAGTGCATTTTTTGTTCAAAACGCCGGTAATCCAATAATACTTAAAAAAAAGGGAGGTAATGGCATTCCTGATAATATACCCCAAAAAATTTACTATTGATAATAAAACATTACCGGGAATGAGATTCCCGGCCAACCAAACATAAGAATGTGAATTCCATTCCTATGGGAATCACACATTCATTGATCCAAACACCCCCTAGTGTCTTATCAGCAGGGGTACGTTAAGCCCCTCATGGTGGTGGTTGTAGGTTTTTAGATGGGGGTTCGTCTAGTCTTGCTCTTGTGTTTTACAGTATTGGGGTACAGTTTGTATTGTGTTAGGGGTTTGACTTTGTGGACTATATTTTGGTTTAGAAAAGTTTTTAACGAAACTCTTAATTAAGGTTTATTTTAATAAAATTTTCTTCAAAAAAATTAAATTATTGTGGGGTAATTTACCCTAAATTTTATTTGCAAATAAATCAGAAAGACTTCAAGGAAACACGATAAAACTTAGGGTGCGTTTGGTTCACGAAATGTAAAATTACCAGTGGGAATGTAAGATTACCAGAGAAAAAGATTACTAAGAATATTGTATTTTGTGTTTGGTTGGTTTAACAGGAATGTAAGATTACCGTGTTTGGTTAAAGGAATAAAAGATTATTGAAATGTATATTTGACCAAATTGACCTTATTATATATTTGTTTTTTTTAACAAGTTGGAAAATATTTATATATTTTCTTTAAAAAAATTAAATTCATAACATTTATATATATGTTTTTACAAAATTGAAAATATAAAAAGGTTTAATGAAAGGGAAAATTTTATTTTAACCCCTGAACTTCATATAAAATTTTAATTATAGATTTTTTTGTAAATCTAAAATAGTTTAAGGATAAATTTATAATTTAACTTTCATAGAATTTTTATTATTCAATGACAGAAGAATGATATTTTTTAGAAAAAAAAAATTAAGGGCATTTTTTGTCCAAAACGCCGGTAATCCAACAATACCTAAGAAAATGAAGTTAATGGCATTCCTGGTAATATATCCCAGAAAATCTACTATTGGTAATAAAACATTACCGGGAATGAGATTCCCGACCAATCAAACTTGGGAATGTGGATTACATTTCTATGGGAATCACACATTCATTGATCCAAACACCCCTAGTGTCTTATCAGCAGGGGTACGTTAAGCCCCTGATGGTGGTGATTGTAGATTTTTAGATGGGGTTCGTCTAGTCTTACTCTTGTGTTTTACAGCATTGGGGTACAATTTGTATTGTGTTAGGAGTTTGATCTCGTGGACTATATTTTGGTTTAGAAAAGTTTTTAACGAAACTCTTAATTAAGGTTTGTTTTAATAAAAGTTTCTTCAAAAAAAATTAAATGATCATGGGATAATTTACCCTAAATTTTATTTGCAAATAAAACAGAAAGACTTCAAGGAAACACGATAAAACTTACAGCCAAGCAGAAAAACAATGACCCACTTAGGGATGTGCATGGGACTCGAACCCAGTAAGTTCCGACCTGACATGACCTAATCAGGTCGGGTTTTTTTTTATTTTTGGTTCGGGTCGGTCGGAGTTTTTAAAGGTGATGTTCATGTCAGATTCGGGTTTAGCGTGAAAAATACCCGAATCGACTTGACCCAAAAAATATAATTTTACCTTATATATTTCAAAATAATTACAATAGTACTCTCCATATATATATTTTCAATTAAATCACTGTTTTTATTGAATAAAAATATTTTTTATTATTTCGGGTCGGGTTAGACCAAGTTCGGAATTTATCTCAAAAATTCAGATCAAGTTCAAATCGGGTGGAGGATAGATATTTTTGGGTCGGGTTGGTCCATCCCTAGACCTACTACTGACTATATATGTTTAACATACCATCAGTTATAAGGATGAACAGATGGGTTGTTGGGGTGCAGTTGTACCACCTATAAATTTAAAAGTACTTTATATTTTAGATATTTTTTGTGTTTTATATGAATTATTTAATTTTGCATCCCTTAAATTTTATAATTTCGTACACCCTGAGATTTTAATATAATCTTTTATGTTCGCTAACAGCATTTACATTAACAAATTATTGCGTACGTTACCGATCAGCTAAGAGCGTTTACCTTAACAAGAGACACCTACTCAATGAAATCAATATAATATATCATTGCAAATCTTCTAAAATGTCCACGGTCTGGTATCCTCCTTGTACAGCCACGAAACTGCAGCTCTCGAGTCAGATTCAGTCACAAGAGGAATAGAAAATTATGTACCCACTGTGATGATGCCGATAGCTGCAGTGTATTTTTTTATGTCAATCTACTCAGTTTCACATTATACCAAGTGGTCCTGAGTACAAACCTTTAACGCTGCTACCTGTAGCTAGCATCCCTCAAAACATCACAACAATTTGCATGACCAGGTTCGCCACGCGCAGAACCATCCACATCGAACTTAACTGTATTAGCTGGTGGAAAAGACCGAGACATTGCAGATCTAAACTTAGAAACAGGCATCACAAAGTTTTGGGGACACCAGCCAACGGGCCTCAACAATAACATGAATTCGAATCTTACAAGGAATTTGATCCAAAACATACCGGGCCATTCCATTATTTTTCTTTATTCTCAAAGTCAAATTCGTTTCTCATCAACCATAAAGTGCACCAAGTTACACCACAAACAAGCATCCATCTACTTGTAATAACGTCCATAAAAGGCGCATCATAGCATGGAACAATCAACTCCTTAGTGGAATGTGGCATGATCACCCATGCATGTTTAATCCCCACCATACAACACCATGGACCATACAATTCAAACAGTATATGGAAACCACAAACCGATCAGTACTACCAAAGGTATATTAGAAATTTAGGAAGTATGAATTTATATCATCAATAAAAATATAAAGAAAATATCTAAATTATATGGAAATTTAAAATTTTCAAGAGACGAGACCACATCTACCTCGATCCATCTTCCACCGAGGTTTAACTGGTAAGAAGAAAGTGGGTTAATTTGTCAAACCTTTCGAAGATCACTTGAAGTCCCTAAAATTACAAATGTTACATATGAAGCTGAATGGGTTAATTTGCTTCCATATGTAGTGTGGTGGCTGGACGTGCACCGCACTATGTGCTAATATATTCCTTTGCCAGGCTAATTCATAGTAGTTTATGAATACATTATTTGACCCCGGTAGTCAATTTCGTAACCTATATAAACAGAACCATATGAGGGTTCTTTTAAATTAAGCATAGAAGTTCCAATTCCCTTCAGATTTCGAGCAGAAAAGCAATGGAAAGAAGATTGATTTTGATTTTGGCGCTCTGCACAGCCATACCTTGTCAGGGTTACTATTCCCAGAGCAAGCCATATGTTCCACCGAGAGAAAAACTCACCAAACTGCGCTACTTTTATCATGATACAATCAGTGGTAAAAACCCTACTGTTATCTCGGTCGCTTGTCCAGACTTCGTCACTGCTTTAAAAATTTTAAAAAATCAAATTACATAATACATATATTCCAAAATTTGAAATTTAAAGGTCTATAATATATAATTCACACATAAAGTTAAAAAAATCAAATTACATAATTGAAAAAAAAATTAAAAAATAAAATAAAAATTATAATTAAATTCCAAATGTTTCAAAGTTAAAATAAATATTTTAAAAAATAATTTAGAATGTTAATGTGAAATAATTTAAGAAATTAGAAATTTATAATGTTAGAGTGAGATAATTTGATAATTATAAAATAAAAATAATATATATAATAATAAATCGGGTATTGGGTCGGCAGGTACCAAGTA